TTATGCTTGCTGCTCTTTGAGAATCTCATTGAATTCAGTACAGAAGGTCACTTGCCAATCTTTGTCAGTCTTGACAGCATTCCACCTGATCTCTCTGCTCAGATCAGCCCTTGTACAAGAACTAAACCAAGTACAGAGAAGTTAGATAAGGAGAGAGCATGCTGGAAGCCTATATGTACTTGGAAGCAAATGCAGGTTCAGTCAGGAAGTTGCTTCCAAACCAGCTCACAGCTTCCTCCAGAGTGACACTTGTTCTTCCTTCTCCTTAGATGAGTTTGAAGTTTTGGCAAAAGACCATGAACTGCTCAACACCAACCACGGCTTGACCATGCTCAGCCTGCTCCCCCTTCCAACCACATCCAAATCCTCAAGCGTGCCATGGCTATTGATCCTTCATGGTGGCGCTCTTCGACAAGCTGGCAATGGCTTACACCAAAAACAACCAGTCCCTTGAGATGATTGTCTGACTCAACCAGGCGGTGGCAGCTGGTCACCTCCCAAAGTTGATGGCCAGAGAGTTGGCAGAGAAGGCCGTCGAAATTGTCAAGTTCAACTGCACCCTGCCACAGTCGCCATACACCACGCAGGAGCGAAGCACTGGACAAGTTGTGTCAACAGTTTGCTGGTGGTGAAGGCTTGTCCCATTGCTGTAACTTGATCTCACTCTTCTGTGGCGGCAATGCGATTGAAGATTAATGAGTGAGTTGCTCTCTCTCTTTCTCTCTCTTTAAAAAAACAAAGAACAGACGCCAGTCCCCAAGGGACACGTCCCCTCCTCCCCTCCCACTAGGGCCGACTGGAGGTTGAGCAGCGTCAGGTTGGTGAGGAAGTTGCCGGCGCGATTGATGACACTCGTGTAGGCGATGCCACTGCGCATCGTCGCGCCCCACGTGGCGTACCCGATGGCGCAGCCTACGCGCGTAACTTCGGCGGCGAGCTGTGGGGTGGCGAGCCAGGTGGCCGGATGCGGGACGAACCCTCTTTTCTACCGTGATGGGCCATACACCGGTAAAAGGGGAGAGACACACCCCAACAAAAAACAAACACGAATGAACATATTATTTGCAGAAGAGAGGGCTCATTTTTTGTCTGATTGAGAAGATCAAAAGAAATATAAGATCACATTTATTTCGCTTCGGTCCATTTCCCTTCTCGGCCAAAGAGCGAAAATGGCGTGAGGACCAAATTTTTGGTCGTCGGCGATTGCTGCCTTTCGGCGATCGTTGGGTCTATTGCCGATTGCTGCCTTTCGGCGAGCGTTGGGTCTAACGACTGTACAGACAGACAGCTGCCTGTTGTTACAACTACCATCACAATCACAACAGCAACAGCAACATGCCCAAGATCGTTCGCTTCCAATCAGCTTGGCGGCCC